GCAGCCGCAGTTCTTTTTGAAACTGGAGATGCGTTGAGCCTTGTCTTCTTCGACTAGAAGCGAGCTCCCTTCAATTCTCTTCAGAGGAGATGGAGACCTACCAAGAGAGGGAGGAGCTCGCTGCTCGAAATCAGCTGAATGACTTGGAGGGACTCTCTCCGTGGTTTCGTTGAGGGGTGGGGGCATCTCCGCCCTTTCTTCTTGAGCGTATGCCCTTTTCCATCTTTTGAAAAGGTAAGGGAAGTAATCAGGATCTCTTTCCACTGCCAAGAGAGAAAGGAGGTTTCTTCTTCTTGTGCGTATGCTGTTCTCCATCTTTTGAAAAGGTAAAAGAAATGCTCAAGATTCAACCCCTTATGAAGAGAGAAAGGAGTTATTTTCTTTCCGACCGATGGGTAAACGGAGACCTTTGAATTCTCGTGAACTTGGAGAGGCCTGTCTGCTGGGCTGAGATGAAGCTCTCTTGCGTCTCATTACATGGGAGGAAGCACTCAGTGATTTCTTGTGGAGGATGAGGTAGAAAATCTTTCTTTTTGGAAGCTAGGGGAGCTCTGTCCTTTGTTGCTAGGAGCGAGGTCTCTTCAATCTTCTTAAGACGAAAAGGCGACATACCAAGAGGTAAAAAGGCTCTCTGCTAGAAGGATGCTCTCTTCTGTTGCCACAAATCACCTGGAGACTCTCTTCTTGTTTTGGGGCTTGAGGTCTTTTCCTTTTAAATGCTGAGGGATGACCAGATGTCTCTACTTGAAAATTGGGGGAGCTCCACCCTTTCTTCTTGAGCGTCCTCCCCTTGTCAAGAAAGAAAGGAGGTCTCTTCTTGCCGAGGGGTAAACGGAGCCCTCTTCTTTCTCGTGAAGTTGGAGCGGCCTGTTTGCTTTGTTGAGATGGCGCTTTCTTCTGCCGCCTTAGATTGCTCTCAATCTCTTCTTGTCGAGGATGAGTTTTTGGAGTAGAGGGCTGCTCATGTCTTATTGAAGGCTAAGGGAGGATCAGACTCTTCTTTTGAAGATTGAGAAGCTCAGTCCTCACTTCTTGAAAGCTATCTCTCTTCTATCCCTTGAGGAGGAAGAGGGGACGACAAGGGGCTCCTCTCTCTTCTTGTCGACTGAGAGGCAGCCGGAGTTCTTTTTTTCTCGTGACGTTGGAAGGGTTCTCTGCTCCTTTGAGATGCTGCCGTAGAGGATGTGCCAAGGGATCTCTTCCTTACCCTTTTGGAGAAAAGAAGCTCATTTCTTGCGGATGACGAAGCAGCGAGCTCCCTTCATTTTATCGTCAGAGGAGATGATGGGAGGAAGCTCTCAGTGATTTCTTGTGGAGGATGAGGCAGACAATCTTTCTTTTTGGAAGCTAGGGGAGCTCTGTCCTTTCTTGCTAGGAGCGAGGTCTCTTCAATCTCCTTAAGACGAAAAGGCGACATACCAAGAGGTAAGAAGGATGCTCTCTTTTGTTGCCACGAATATCCTGGGAACTCTCTTCTTGTTTTGGAGCATGAGGTCTTTTCCTTTTAAATGCTGAGGGATGAAAAGATGTCTCTACTTGAAAATTGGGGGAGCTCCACCCTTTCTTCTTGAGTGTCCTCCCCTTTTCAAGAAAGAAAGGAGGTCTCTTCTTGCCGAGGGGTAAACGGAGCCCTCTTCTTTCTCGTGAAGTTGGAGCGGCCTGTTTGCTTTGTTGAGATGGCGCTTTCTTTTGTCCCATTAGTTTGGAGGAAGCTCTCAGTCTCTTCTTGCCGAGGATGAGGCAGAGGATTTTTTTGGAAGCTAATTCAGAGGATGGGGTAGAGGGCTGCTCATGTCTTATTGAAGGCTAAGGGGAGGATCAGACTCTTCTTTTGAAGATTGAGAAGCTCAGTCCTCACTTCTTGAAAGCTATCTCTCTTCTATCCCTTGAGGAGGAAGAGGGGACGACAAGCAGCTCCTCTCTCTTCTTGTCGACTGAGAGGCAGCCGGAGTTCTTTTTTTCTCGTGATGTTGGAAGGGTTCTCTGCTCCGCGGTAGAGGATGTGCCAAGGGATTTCCTTACCCTTTTGGGGAAAAGAAGCTCATTTCTTGCGGATGACGAAGCAGCGAGCTCCCTTCATTTATCGTCAGAGGAGATGATGGGAGGAAGCTCTCAGTGATTTCTTGTGGAGGATGAGGTAGACAATCTTTCTTTTTGGAAGCTAGGGGAGCTCTGTCCTTTCTTGCTAGGAGCGAGGTCTCTTCAATCTCCTTAAGACGAAAAGGCGACATACCAAGAGGTAAGAAGGATGCTCTCTTCTGTTGCCACAAATCACCTGGGGACTCCCTTCTTGTTTTGGAGCATGAGGTCTTTTCCTTTTAAATGCTGAGGGATGACCAGATGTCTCTACTTGAAAATTGGGGGAGCTCCACCCTTTCTTCTTGAGCGTCCTCCCCTTTTCAAGAAAGAAAGGAGGTCTCTTCTTGCCGAGGGGTAAACGGAGCCCTCTTCTTTCTCGTGAAGTTGGAGCGGCCTGTTTGCTTTGTTGAGATGGCGCTTTCTTCTGCCGCCTTAGATTGCTCTCAATCTCTTCTTGTCGAGGATGAGTTTTTGGAGTAGAGGGCTGCTCATGTCTTATTGAAGGCTAAGGGAGGATCAGACTCTTCTTTTGAAGATTGAGAAGCTCAGTCCTCACTTCTTGAAAGCTATCTCTCTTCTATCCCTTGAGGAGGAAGAGGGGACGACAAGGGGCTCCTCTCTCTTCTTGTCGACTGAGAGGCAGCCGGAGTTCTTTTTTTCTCGTGACGTTGGAAGGGTTCTCTGCTCCTTTGAGATGCTGCCGTAGAGGATGTGCCAAGGGATCTCTTCCTTACCCTTTTGGAGAAAAGAAGCTCATTTCTTGCGGATGACGAAGCAGCGAGCTCCCTTCATTTTATCGTCAGAGGAGATGATGGGAGGAAGCTCTCAGTGATTTCTTGTGGAGGATGAGGCAGACAATCTTTCTTTTTGGAAGCTATGGGAGCTCTGTCTTTGTTGCTAGGAGCGAGGTCTCTTCAATCTCCTTAAGACGAAAAGGCGACATACCAAGAGGTAAGAAGGATGCTCTCTTTTGTTGCCACGAATATCCTGGGAACTCTCTTCTTGTTTTGGAGCATGAGGTCTTTTCCTTTTAAATGCTGAGGGATGAAAAGATGTCTCTACTTGAAAATTGGGGGAGCTCCACCCTTTCTTCTTGAGTGTCCTCCCCTTTTCAAGAAAGAAAGGAGGTCTCTTCTTGCCGAGGGGTAAACGGAGCCCTCTTCTTTCTCGTGAAGTTGGAGCGGCCTGTTTGCTTTGTTGAGAGGGCGCTTTCTTTTGTCCCATTAGTTTGGAGGAAGCTCTCAGTCTCTTCTTGCCGAGGATGAGGCAGAGGATTTTTTTGGAAGCTAATTCAGAGGATGGGATAGAGGGCTGCTCATGTCTTATTGAAGGCTAAGGGGAGGATCAGACTCTTCTTTTGAAGATTGAGAAGCTCAGTCCTCACTTCTTGAAAGCTATCTCTCTTCTATCCCTTGAGGAGGAAGAGGGGACGACAAGCAGCTCCTCTCTCTTCTTGTCGACTGAGAGGCAGCCGGAGTTCTTTTTTTCTCGTGACGTTGGAAGGGTTCTCTGCTCCGCGGTAGAGGATGTGCCAAGGGATTTCCTTACCCTTTTTGGGGAAAAGAAGCTCATTTCTTGCGGATGACGAAGCAGCGAGCTCCCTTCATTTATCGTCAGAGGAGATGATGGGAGGAAGCTCTCAGTGATTTCTTGTGGAGGATGAGGTAGACAATCTTTCTTTTTGGAAGCTAGGGGAGCTCTGTCCTTTCTTGCTAGGAGCGAGGTCTCTTCAATCTCCTTAAGACGAAGAGGCGACATACCAAGAGGTAAGAAGGATGCTCTCTTTTGTTGCCACGAATATCCTGGGGACTCTCTTCTTGTTTTGGAGCATGAGGTCTTTTCCTTTTAAATGCTGAGGGATGACCAGATGTCTCTACTTGAAAATTGGGGGAGCTCCACCCTTTCTTCTTGAGTGTCCTCCCCTTTTCAAGAAAGAAAGGAGGTCTCTTCTTGCCGAGGGGTAAACGGAGCCCTCTTCTTTCTCGTGAAGTTGGAGCGGCCTGTTTGCTTTGTTGAGATGGCGCTTTCTTTTGTCCCATTAGTTTGGAGGAAGCTCTCAGTCTCTTCTTGTCGAGGATGAGGCAAAGGATTTTTTTGGAAGCTAATTCAGAGGATGGGGTAGAGGGCTGCTCATGTCTTATTGAAGGCTAAGGGGAGGATCAGACTCTTCTTTTGAAGATTGAGACAGCTCAGTCCTCACTTCTTGAAAGCTATCTCTCTTCTATCCCTTGAGGAGGAAGAGGGGACGACAAGGAGCTCCTCTCTCTTCTTGTCGACTGAGAGGCAGCCGGAGTTCTTTTTTTCTCGTGACGTTGGAAGGGTTCTCTGCTCCTTTGAGATGCTGCGGTAGAGGATGTGCCAAGGGATCTCTTCCTTACCCTTTTGGGGAAAAGAAGCTCATTTCTTGCGGATGACGAAGCAGCGAGCTCCCTTCATTTATCGTCAGAGGAGATGGAGACTTACCAAGAGGTAGAGGAGCTCGCTGCTAGAAATCAGCTGAATGACTTGGAGAGACTTTCTCCGTGTTTTCGTTGAGGGTTGGGGGAATCTCCACCCTTTCTTGAGCCGTCTGTCTACATTCCAAGGAGTCGTGGACATTCTGATTGGTTAAACATTACATTACATTCACACGAACTTTGGGCGCAAGTGGCCGCCGCTTGTATGTCGCAGTGTAATACGCAGCTAGGCACCACGAGAGCGCAGACATTTTCAACGATCAATTATGCACGCATGGAGTCTGTGCCTACGTCACCCGTGTCATGGCGTGGTCTGTGGTGATGAGAATAAGCACTACTTGAATGCAAAAACACAGCCATCCAGCTGCCAAATAGACCCTATTTAAGCCGGCCACCCCCCCCCCCCCCCAAATAGTCAAACTTCTAACTTCGACGCTCCAGAACTAGAGCATAGACTCACTGCGAATGGCTTCTGCTGCGCAGCTGCCGGCTTGCTTGTCGAAGCGCTTTGATCGGAGCAGTTGAGCCCGGGAACAGGGTTTAGGTTTGTTTCTCAGAGCAGGTCTTGCTGCTTCGGTCAGGTACTGGGTTTCCATAAAGGGCAGAACTCTTTGAAACATCGATTGTGCCTTTGGCTTTGCGCCTTTGCCACAGCCAACCCCTTGAGTCCAAGACCCTTCGCGTCTCCAGGCTTCCTTCCCCTCAGTTGGAGGCCGTCAAGCAGGCTGGACCCAGGGGATCCAAGACAAAGGTTGGTTCGTTGATTGGCAGACTAGGTCTCAAGGGCGGTTTGACGGTTCTGTCTCTCTAGGGTTTAGGGTGGATGACGACCCGAGGTTTTGGCGTCATAGTAGATTCGAGAAATCTGTCGAGGTTTGGATCAGGAGGCCTGCGCAGGCGCAACACCTCCGAGGCCAATCCCCAATTCACAAAATGAGGGACTTGCAGTGCAGGTCCGCATTATGTTTGTAACATGAAGACCCCACAAAATCCCAGTCCGATCATTCAGGCTTCTATATCACTCAGTCCCTGAGCCCGTGAGTGAGATTCGAACGACCTGGCTGACGACTTCGTAGCCAATTCAGCACCCTCGGCATCTCATCATCCGAGGGTCCCGATGATTCATAGCAGACCCCAGCCTTTCTTTGAGCTTTGCGCACTTCCTGCAGTCGCAGGCGTTGTTGGAGCTGCTCGGATGTGGGCTGAGAGCCATGGCAGAAAGGGTGTTGCAGTATCAGAGACCACACTTCAGGGTGTTTGGCTATGTTTCGGCCCGCAGCCCTCAAAGCGGGTTCCAAGAAGTGTATCTGAATGACATAGCCTGCTTTTCTGGGAGAGAGATAAGAGAGAGAGAGAGAGAGAGAGAGAGAGAGAGAGAGAGAGACAGATAGACAGGGAGCTGCGGGAAAGAGAAAGCCAGGGACTCGTTTGAATCTGAGGAGTGCAAAAGCCCCCCACGTGGCAACCCTCCAGCCGGCAGTGACCGAGGTGAAGTGACGGACGTTGAGGAACTTGCCAAGCGTGTGAAGGCACCTCCAACATTGCTAAGTCTTGCATGCCCCAGTATCCCATGCTGAGTCTTTGACAGACCTTGAGAGCGTGTGCATGTCATGATGCAGGCCAAGCTACATGCTGCCGACAGCCGGCAGGCTCTTGCCGAGGCTTGGATTGACAGCTTTTCCGGCATTCAGCCTACTTCTGGGCTCGGCGCTGCAGACAGGCTTCAAGCACCGAACATGTGGAGCCCCTCAATATGGGTGCATTACACTTCGAGGCTGTCGCCCAAGATGTAGGATGTGTCCAATCTTTACATTGTACATCCGAAATGGCATACATATATATATATATATATATATATATATATATATATATATATATATATATATATATATATGCTGCGATGTGGTCTAGATTACCTCCTGAACTCTGCCAGGACCATCCGTCGGAGTATGCCTCCATGTGCCGCTGGGCCTGGACGCCCAGGCGCTGGCACGAGAGCCGAGCAGCCGCAGGCCGTGGAAAGAAGATCGCTGTGCCGGGGTAAACGTGTCAGGGTTCAGGTGTCGGGCCCTTTCCAAGTGTGGTGACCCTAAGCACAAGCTTGAACTCTTGCACCCTAAACCCCGAAACCCGAAACCCCACGGGCCAAGACACCAAGTTCCTACTCCCGCAACTTCTGAACCAACATTTCCTGGATTCCACGCGTCGGGCAAGTCGTCCAAGCCCCTGCAGGTGCGCCGGCTGGTGCTCCAAGCGCCGATCTAGGTACCGAGTGCTCGGGTGAGCCCTTTGCGGGGATAAGGGCTTTAGAGTTTCAGAGTTTAGGGAAGTTCAGGGTTTCGAGCTTTAGGAGTCTTGTTTAGGGCGTTTGAGGCTTTCTCATGGCTTCGGGTCAGCTCATGCTGGTTCTGCAGCCTCTATAATTCTGTAAGAAGTCAGTCTATCGCAGGCTGCAAGCTGGAGTTGCCATGTCTGCCAGGTTTGGGTAGTCATACTGGCGCACAGCCAGAAATAGTGGAAGCGTAGCTATCCTGATCCTGAACATGGCCGTATTTGCCCTTATCCTTCAAGCAGACCCCCAACTCCTAAGCCCAAAACCCTTAACCGCCATGCCGCTATGAAATGTTTTTTTTGAACCTGTTGAAACGTTCGAAACCTGATACAGCCCTTGCCGTCCTTCTCGAGGGGAGGCGCGGGACCTGCTGCCACCCATCCTACGAAGAACCCAGGTCGGACCCAATCCTTGCAGACTTTGGTTTGCGGGAATTGGGGGGGGGGTCAAGACTTGTTAGGAGTTTTTAATCTACTAGAGGTTGGGGGGCTAGTGGCTTAGTATGAGGGGTCTACAGGTTCGGGGTTTATGGGTTTATGAGTCTTCTTTTGGATTCAATCGCAAATCGCCCCGAAGCGAACAAGGGCTCTGATTCCAGTGAGGTTAAATTCAGCAACGAACCCTTCAAGTTGTGCTCTCTATGATCTCTATGCCGGAAATCACCTTGTGGTGCAAGGCCACCCCATGAAGCTGCGAAGCTCTTCGAATCCCTCCCGTAAGCCCTGAAACTCCCAGTCCCAAGCCCGAAACCATTGGCTCAGTTGGCCTTCGACAAGCTGCTGGCGAGCTGCCAGCAACGTGTGGAGGCAGCGGGGCTCCGAAACCTTGATACTCGTATGTGGCGACATGAATAATCGACTTATCGACTGACTCGTCCTGAACTCCTGAAGCATACTGTGTACAGTTCTCTTGAAGTATCTAAGACATAAACAGATTGTTACGTTAAGTTAATTAAGTTGTGCCATAGTCTTTTGGATGCATGTCCTCGTCTGTCAGGGCTCAGGCAGATGGCAGGCTCTGAGTGGCAATAAGGCTCCTTCAGCTGGAGCGGGATCCTCTTTGTAAGGCCCGTAGAAACAAGGACTTGGAAATGAGGTAATGTGGACCCGCAAAACTGCATCCTGATTCGAAGGATTCCTAGACCACTTTCAATACGAGGGTCCTTATCAGAAGGGGGCCCTTGATGAAAGAGACTTCTTGTTTCCACGAGCGCGCAGGCTTTGCAGCAAGAGCCGGACAAGGCCGAGTCTCTGCCCGCACTTACAGATCAGCACTTGCCGGTGAAGCTTTCGCGGCCCCTCCCACGCCACCCACAGGACCCGAAACCCCTACCTAAAGCCAAAGGGATCCTAAAACGGATCCTAGAAGCATCCTAAGGATCCGAAAGTCCATATGTGGAATAAACCTTAAGCCCCGTGTCTCAGCCACCGAAGATCTGCCGACAGCAAAGGCGGCCCTGCACCGCGCAGAGGCGAAGCTTGCCGGCTTGGGCAGGTGGTTTCCGGCGGCTCGCTTCAGACTGGCATTTAGGGTTGTTGGTAAACGGCGTTGTGGGTGTTTCGGGTTAAGGGTTTGAGGTTTGGGGACGAAGTTGGGGGGGCAGGAACAGGAAATCATGACTTGTTCCGACCATGAAAAATGCATGCAGCTGATTCCACAATGATGCGGTTTTGCGACACCACGTCCGTAATCCCAAACCCGAAATCCAACACCCCAAGTCCCGGGCGCTATGCCTGGCCTAAACCGGTCAAAGGCCGGAAGCCTCAGGTCATGAAGGCCGCAGACGACGAGATTCGCACTCTGGCCACTGCGGCTGCCGGCACACTGGCAGCGATAGGGGCCTGGGACTTCTTGGGCCTCGGATTCTCGAACAGATGAACTTAGGTTCGCCAGCATTAATTTGAAAGAATTCGCTTTAGATTCGGATTGCGGTTCCAGTGGTTTGAAGATGTTAGGAGCTTCCAGCCGACAGCCAGCAGACGTCACCAGGGGTTCTACTCTCATTTACCAGGGTTGCCAATCTCGACTCCAACCGCTGCCGGTATGGTCTTGGTCCATGAAAAGACCCGCGGAGGCGTGAAGACCTCTTCTGGAGATGGGCTCGGTGTGCTCTTCGAGCCAGCACCGGCGATGGAGGCTCGACGGGCTTCATAGGCGGTCTGAAGGCTCGATATTCGGTGTTTTAGGGCTCAGTGTTCGGGGGTTTGCGGGCCTTGAAAGGGTTGCCGTGCCTTGAAGAATCACGCAAGGCATCTGGAGTAGAGACGTAAGCAGTCGGCCAGCCCGGAAGAACTGCCCGTTTCGATTCGGATGCGGAGAGTTTCGTTTCGTACCACCTCGCAAGAAAGGATTCAGGAGTGTGTCGACACACCGAGCTTCGAACGACCCTGGTTGCCCAGTAGTCAGCGGCTTGAAGCCGGCACTTTTCTGCAAAGCTGACTTCTTGTTGAGCCTTTCGAGAATCCCGGATCTGGGACCCTATGCCTAAACCTTGAAGACTTGAAGGCCAGGTGGTGTAGGATCCTGATCAAGAAACCCCGATCATGCTTTTACCCCAACATATTAGGATTCAGAAGATACAGAACCTCAAGAAAGACGCAAGGTTCCTTAGTCAGGTCCCTACATCAAAAGGGGCCTTCGAAGTTGCATCCTTGCAGTTACTGTCGGTTCGAGCCGTTGTCACCATCCTGCTTGGTGCTGGCACAGCATATGCAACTAGGAACAGGTATAGTAGTTAGAGTAGGATTCGGGGTTGTGTAGTTTTTTCATGATACTGTGCGCAGGGGAGTACGGCGGTTAAGTAAGAAGAAGCCAAGGTGTGCAGCGGCAATGCTGCAGCGCGACTGCCGAAGATTCCGATCGGGACATTGCTTGTTGACTTACTGTGCTGCCTGCCTACGTGGCCAAACCTCGACCGTCGACCTCGGAATCGCCATCACACTGCCTCTTGCCGTTGGAGAAAGTTTCGGTTTCGTTTGGACCGACCCTGTTCAAGCAGTCTGCCACGTGTGCAGCGCACCAGGACCGGCAGGAAAGTCGAGGCCATGTGGGAGCTGGGAGTTGGGTCTGACATGGAGAGACTCCCAGGCCCTCAGTATCGTAATCGTCGCAATCCCAAAGCCATACAGGGTTCTGTTCTCTTTGTTCAGAGATGGCTCCCGGGACTGTGAGACCGCGATAATGCCCTCTCTTGGCTGGAGGTGCCCTCGGCTCCCCCGAGATCAAACCCTTCACCGTCCCTGATAACCCTGCATCTGGGCAAGGGAGGAGGCCGGCTCACCTCCTGAAATTGTGGGGGTGGGGGGTATTCTCACACTGTTTCTTGAGTAGGTCTTTGCATGCGTTTGGGGTTTTATGGTTTCCCCGTGCCTTTTGCCTCATATTCAGCAGGGGATGGGACTGCATAGCTCGCGTGGATCTTCTGCCAACCATATATGCGTTTGGATGGCTCTGGGGTGGCAGGAACTTTGTTCGGGTCTTCATGCCGGAGTTCGTGTCCGTGTGGTGCATGATCGGTAGAACTCTGCGGACACTTCAGGCCCGAGCATGCAGACTTTGTCGCAAGGAATGCTTGCTGCCTGCCATTGGCCTCACTGACGATACCGCCCAACTTGTACTTCCTCCACGTGCGTGTTTTGGTCCTGAGCCCTAAACCTAATACTGAAAACCGAACCCTTATTCCCGAAGCCTCTAAATCCTAACCACATGAAGGTGAAACCGGTGCTGCAGCCTGGGAAACGTTCATGGCGGAGCACCGCTTGGACAAAGAGGCTTCGGTGGTGGATTGTCTCACGGATTGGGTTTGGGTCTAAGGGCTGACTGAGGGTTTAGGTTTGGGGTTATAATGACCCCCAATACCTCGTGCTGGGACACAGCGGGATATTCCGTAAATAAGAGCTAGTCTCCTCTCGTCGTAATGCAGGTGCCGTTTGGAGTCCTCAGAAGACACAACGGGACGGTACATGATATCTATTGTAACAGTACTGCTGACACAGTGCGAAACACTTAACAAGGAAATTCAGAGGCTTGGACACAATTCGTAATAGCCTCTGCGTCTCGTCCTGTGCAACAGTATGTGGGGACCCAATAGACCCCAATCAGAATTCCCGTCTACTGAACCCGTGAAAGCCGCCAAACCCTCTCATGCCTGCTGGGGCCCTGTAAACCTTCGTCTGCACGAATAGGGCCGGCCTTTGCATGGCGAAGTTTACGGCTGCAGCAACTTTCTCTTCGCGGAGGTGGCTTGCAGGGCGGGGGCTCGCATTGGGGTCTAAAGGGCTTGGGGGTCTTCTTTTTGAGGCTTGTAAGCTTGAGGGTTTAGGGTCCAAGTCAGGAAGAGCTCAGCAACCAAAGCAACCGATCGTGCAGTCGCGCATGGTACAATGCTTGGGTTTCCAACTCGCAGATTGGAGTTAACGCCAAAGCCCTTAACTCATTGCAAATTCGTGGTTTTTGTAGCCGATGATTCAGTGTGAGTGTAGGTCTTGTGCGGGCGGGGGGAACCGGAAATCTCCCCCAAAACCTCACTAAGACCCCAACATCTTGCCTAGCCGACAAGTTCGCATGACTGCCGTGACCAGCTCGTAGTCTCCATGCCATGGCCTTGCCACATGAAAGAGCTCTTACGCGTTTCGGATTTGTGCTTGTGCTCGTCTTGCTGCCAGCGCGAATCGTTGTTTCAGATGGCGCACATGGAGTCGACCGCAGATCCTCACGCTTATGCTGATTTCCTTGCAGTCTGATCCCATGCTGCGAGGGCTGCACCGGGAAGTACGTACCCCGGACCGTCTTTGCTGGCTACGAGGCGACTTTGATCAGTCTATAGACTCAGACCCTAAGCCGGACGAAGGAAGCGTGTTGGAGCGCCTCTGCCCAGGAAGATGAAGCTCTGAGCACAAACTACTTGTCCCGACATGCTTCATGCAAGGTACAGAGTTTCTGTATGCAGAAGGATTCGGATCTTCGATTCGTTTTCTCTTAGATGGGTCGGTGTAGGCTCTGCAGCTTGGGGACGTGAGGGTATTTCTGTGGCTTTCAGAACTTCAGGTCCAAAGCAGACTCATTTCTTTACGGTCGCTTCAGCGCAATCTAGGGGGGATTGCGCACAAGTCGAAGCCCGAAGCCGCTAACAAGGTGAGCTCGGCTGCTGAGGCCGGGCAGGGAGACGGAAGCCTTCTCTACTGGGGCCAAGGGCTCAGAGTTTAAGTTTGGGTTAAGGGTTTAGTGCTCTGGGTTGAGACGCTAAGGCACTTGCAAGAATCCGGGCGTAGCCCATCAGACGAGGGTGTGCCCGCACGATGTTTCAGGGCTGGTTTGACGGATCAGTTTTGGGTAGAGAGCCACAAGACTCCAGGATTAAGGTTATCGCTCTTCATCTTTGCCAGCTCCGCTATAGCAGCTAGCCTTAAGGTGACGAATGGGGGCTCTGCTCCTGTCAGCAGGTAGGAGGTGATGTTTCTTCACAGCCGGGCAACCGAAGTCAGGCACTGAACCTGAAGCTCTGAACTCGAACACAATCGAAAACTCACGGTCGAAGCCGTTCATACCAGCTCCAGCAAGTCGAGGTTCGGTATGCATCCAAGATCTAGAGTTTACGAGCTAAGGTTTAGGTTTCGGGGCCAGGACTTGTAGATTATAGGGTCAAGTGTGCGCTGCAGGCTGTGTTTGCAAATCCTGACCATTGACCACCATTACCCATCAAAATCGAATGAACTCAGATTCATTCCTGCCGCAGGGCTACGCTCAAGCCTGAAATCCCACACCCTACACTCCAGAACCCCAAGCCCCGAGCGCATTCCTAAGCCCGTCGTCAGGCAGCTTCCTTCGCACCCACCTCCATCTTCAGGGGCGTGGATCCGCAACCTGGAGAGCCACGGCTGACGAGAGGCAAAAGCAGGTTTCTGTCTGTTTCCATAGGGGTTAGGGCCGTGTAGGTTTTAGGGCTTCGGGCTTTTAGATTCAGAGTTTCAGGCTGCGGTCTGTGGCTTGAACTTAAGTTTCGGGCTCAGGGATGTAGAATACCGTTCTTGGATGATTTCATGTCGGAATCCTAGATGTCCTAGATCTAAACCCAAAGTCCCAGTGGCTTCTAATATTCCGGAGCAGAGATTTCAAGAAGTTTCTGTTTGGGAGGACGATCACTCATAGCTGCATCGAAGCTTTTGGCCCATCGGCCGATTTGGGGGTTTGGGAAGGGCAGCACTTCACCGATGTCCCTTAACTAGAATCTTCATGAATCCGATAAGCAACACCTCCGAAAAGTGGTCTTGAGGATCAGAACGTTGAATGCGTACTCTAATCCTGTCCAGATGAGATGAGCACCGTCTTTGTCGCTGAGATCTGGTAGAGAACCGCCTGCTCACACGACGCGCGCTGCTTTACAACGTCACCCTTCTTCGGACCTGCGTCTTCCTTCCGGTCTACTCTGTTTTAACGTGGCATCCTGCTACTTGTTGAACCCCAATTTTAAAGCCCAAACCCCACATGCTGAAAACGGCACATGTTCACGCGCCAGCCGAACGATTCCAGGATTTCCCGTGCTCAGATGCGCTGAGGACTGGTACCATGGCAACGGCGACAGCAAGCTCGCCGACCAGGAGACCTGTTCTCACAGGGTTTCTTAGACTGACGGGAACCTTTATATATGTACAGAACTCCTTCGACTAAGAATCCGATGATTTTGGCACTGGTGGATCCTTATACATTCTCACACACATTTGCCACATTTGCTGGGACAGTTGGTGTGGATAAAGCACTTGGCGGAAGTGTTTGAGGGCGATTCGTTTAGCAGCGGCGTGGGATTAAAGGTCGCGCCGTTCACCCCGGCACGGTCTGCTACGCCCTTGAGAATAAAATGTGACGGGGCTGCCTGCATAAAGTTGATGCTGTCAATCCGCCGTGCTTTAGGTAGACCTTTTCGTCTACTTACTGCCCTGTCCTTGAGAAGCCCTACTTGGTAGGTCTGTGAATCACATTCGGACCGCTTCTCGGATCCCCGGCTGCGGCACTCTCCACAATGCAATGTTAATTCTTGTCTTGAGAATCTCTCGACACAGACACCCGGTTGATCTCTCTGTACAACACATATTAACGTCGTGAGCTTTCCAGCATAAGGGATAGCTTGGAGCTACTCTGTGCGCTTATATCGCACTGAGAGCTTTGGAGCTTTAGTTACAGTCCTAGTACTGTAGATAGCCGTTGGGGTCGTCTTGGGTTCTGTGTTGTGCTGGTCCCCTGCCAACCAAGGCAGCCCAGCAGTAGAGTCAGCAAGAGCTACACAACCCTATCTATGTATATGTATATATATATACATATTTTATAATCTATATCTATATATATATATATATGTATATTCGAATTCCCTTCAACCTGTCGGAACTGCTCGTAAATGCTAGCTGCTAGCGCAAAGAACCACTCACTTGGTTCCTCATCTCGCATTTCTCGGCCTGCGCAGGTCCTGGAGGGCATCCGCCGGCAGCTGGAGCTTTGTGACTTCTGCGATGGAATGCTGGCCGGGACATGTATTGACAGTGGCAGCACATACGGTGGAGTTTAAAGTTTCGGGATTGTTGTGAGTGTATATGTAGGGTGTTGTGATGGGGATGCCGTCAACAGCAACCCTACCTCATATAGCATCGTGGACGGAATGTGACGTTCGGGTGCGGGATGTTGCTGCACGACTATTCAACTTCGAGGCTTGCTGCCCCAGTAGCTCCGGATTGCTCCGTGGCAGGGAACGTTTCTTGGAGCAGCTCCTGCTCTTGACTCAACAAAGATTGTGGTGGTCCATGTGCCCTGGAGCACCCCAAGTCCCAGCAGGAAGGTGGCAGGCGCAACGCGCTTAAACCAGATATAGCGGTCGCAATAATCAGTAACAGTATGTCCTTAACCCCGTTGTAGTACTTGTAATAGGTCTCAAAGCCCTATTCTGATCGTTAAGGCCTCATAGTCCGTGCATGCAGCAGGTGCCAAGGTAAACAGCTATTCGTACAACTGTTGCCTCAGCACAGGTGACGCATGACGCCGGCGAAAACATTTGCGAGAACGGCTTCTTGGTATTTCATCAATTTTGAAACACATCATGAGAAGCAGTCGGCACTGAAGTTGCACACAGGAAGGTGTTCGGCAACATGACGTGACGGCACTTCGCTTGCCTTCGTTGCAGAAGGCCGTTGAGACATTTTGGTTCGACACCGAAGGGTCAGAGGCAGGCTGAAGCCTGCATTCAGACACAACCCCGACACTCTTCAATTCCCACCCACCGAATGCCTAAACCCTAGATCAACCCTATATTATATCTTCTGGAAGAGCGGGATCACCTCAGGCTTTGCAGCGAGAGTTCTCCAGACCCTTGCCTTGAACGACTTGAAGAAGAAGGCCTGGCAGGATTTTGCAGAAGCCAGTGCAATGCGCACTTATCTCTGCAAGCCTCGCATGCGGCAAGTTGCGCAACGCCATTTGCAAAGCAACTGGGGTTTGGGGTTTGGGCTTTAGGGTCCCGTTTCTTCTGCTTAACCACATGCATCGGCACCTTGCATCTTGCAGTGTCGACGTGCCAAGTACACATGTGGCATGAGCTTGCGAGCTGCTTACATGCGCTGCAGCCTCTAGTCAAAGTCATTTCAGACCCAACGGGCCATGCATGACCTGAGCTGCATCACCTGAGCGCGCCGTCATAAAAGCCCTGTTCGCTGCTAAACCCCAATCTAAACCCTCACCCTAAACCACGTGAGACTTCTTCAACCTCTTGAGCACCAAGCCCTATGCAGGCCGCACACCCCTAAACTTGCGCGCGAGGTGAAGATGGCCTTCACTTGCGTGCCGGATCCGACCGGCTTCGACGCTATGGCATGAGACGAATTGCAGGGTCTGGACTACTGTACTAGTTTCACATCATGCCCCCTCATAGACTCACGCCCCTGTAGTAGCGGTTTTCAGGGATGATGTCGACTTCGAGAGACGTAGCACAGTTGTAGAATTAGAGTTACGATCTGTGGCCGAGAACACACAAACTTTCGGATCTTCAACCTGGCTTGGGGCTCAAACCTAAGAAGCCTCTCGTGCTTGAGCCGAGTATGTAGGGAGATCTCCGCACCTTCCGCCCCCGGGCAGCCCAAAACTAAAACTCTGTAGCGAAAAGCAACTTAAAAGGATGCTGCTTGTGACTACGAGTCCTACGCCACAGCCTCCCTGTTGCTCGGTTTGGCAGTGTCTGGGGAGAAGGATTTTGCAAAGATGCGCACATGGGAGTTCCAAAGACGGGGCTGCAGTGTAGAACTCCGAATTAAGATTCAGTCACACCAGCTAATAACAGTACTTGTAGGGCCTGGCAAAATCCGACAAATCAATACTGTTCGTAGTGTTAATTTTATGTTTATCATCATATATATATATATGTACATATATTTATGATAACACTTTATTGTTGTTATTCTTATTAAACAATGGCAATATTGTTATAGTAATATTATCACTAGGAATCTTCAGCTTGTGCATGACATCAGAGATACAGGACGTACATGGTTTCTCTCTCTCCCTCCCTCCCTCCCTCCCTGCCCCCCTCGCTCTGTCTGTCTCTGTCTCTGTCTCTGTCTCTGTCTCTGTCTCTGTCTCTGTCTCTCTCTCTCTCTCTCTCTCTCTCTCGGGGTTGGAGTCGGGAATTGCGTAAGTTGTCCTGCATTACGTTGCTTGAGGCTGGGCCTAACCCTCGTTGATAGCTTGGATCTCGTGGTCTTCTACGACGCCAATGGGCTTCGTCAACGGGCCCGAGCGAAGTGGTGCCTCGAAGTTCCACGGTTGGGAGGAATCTTGAGTTCTGCCGGGTCCAGAGGGTGCAAACTGTCTGTTTATTTTTCAGGGTTCTCCTCAAAGCTTTCCGAGTTTGCATTACAACACTGCGCAAAAAGATCATCGAAGACATTCTTTTCAAGAGGGCTGTAGTTCTTGGCTACTGTCTGACTAGACCGGGTTCGTGCTGAAAGCAGGGGTAGCGCAGCTTTGCAGGTGCAGAAGGGGCAGCACTGATTGGCCAAGCTCATCAGCAGATGCCCTGCTGTCTGAAGCCCTCGAGCAAGCAAGGAATGGCTTGGGATTGCAGAACCCTGACGACACCGCTTGCCGAGGCGGGCTTGAGAAGGCATATGCATGTGGCATAGATGATCCGATTCCGTCTCGAGCATTTAAATCTCTTCGCATGGCTGCTTGGGGTCTTGTGTAGGAATACCTAGTCTGGGGCGAGCCGGTGTATTTGGGAGACTTGCGGAGTGTAAGCTGGACGAGTTGAGGCAAGCGACTCCGGACTGCACGCTAAGTGCTGGGTGCCATGAACACGCAGCAACATCGAACGTTGTGCCCTTTGCATGTAGGGTGTCGAATTCGGCCCGATTACTACAGTAGCCCCTCCGGTGCAGTTCCACAACATAACGATTGAAAGGTCTGGTTTCCCGGCTTCTGAGCAACGTGACGGGCCCCCAGCGCTTTGGCGGCCTCGTCCCGTCGGCCCACGGTTCGAGGCATCGCCGGAACTGCTGCTGTTGCCCTCACTTCCGCCACAGCTGCCACCGACAACCTACCACCTACACAACTACCACCTAACACCCGCTACCCACACCCTACCATCCACCACCCACCACCCACCACCCACCACCCACCGCCACCGCCGCGACGACGCCGACTTTGTAGTGGTTCTTACTTGATGATAGCTACGATGATAATCGCTTCGCGGTGATGCTGCTAACGACGACGATGATGCTGATTCTGACGATCATGATGATGTAACTGTGACGAGTGCCCATGTCCTGGTCAATTGCCGATAAAACCTTGCAAACCCAACGGCTAAAGCCTTGAACCTAAAGCCCCCAAAATCGCAGCTGCCAAAGACTCCAGGCTTGCCGGCATCGCGAGCGTGGCGACGAATCTGGCCCCGCCCCTCGAGCTGGAAATTGAACCGACACTGGATATTTGCAATGGCACCCTATATAAAGTTAGCATAGACCATTTCCATTTTCACCATGCACACCCCCCTAGCACCCAAGCCATAACAACCTATACCTCAACATTCAACCCATCCAAGACCCGTAGGTAGAATTGTAGGAAAGACGCGCCTGAAGATCCAAAACCATCACAACCTATACCTCAACCCTAAGCTCACCAGAAAACCCATAGGAATATCCACATGATGGAACCACTAGACGAACTATACACCACCACATAGAAAAACCCCAACCTCAACTCCATACACCAATACCCCCACAGAAAACCCGATAGTATCAACCCGAAATCCCTAACCCTTGAAAATGGAAATGGTCTGTTAAAATACTTTACCGATGGTAGGAAAAAGGTTTTGCAACAAGGTGGCGACGTCAATGAAGCCAAAGAGTAATAGCTATGAGCCACACTAGTGGTGACTGCTGTTTCTATTAGTAGTGCTGCTACTATTCTTGTTGTGGTATTTTACGGCTTGAGCATGTTTCTTGGTGCCGGTCATGACTTTGGTTCAGTCTCCGAGGGTCTTTGAATTGCTTTGCCTTCTCTCACAGCAAGCACCCACAACAGTCTCAATAGTAGTGATAAAAAAGAAACCATAGTAATAGCATTACTAGAAATGGCTATTATTGTTAGTGCTATCAGCATTATTATTCCGGTTATTGTTGCTTCTAGTATTATAGTTAGTAGTAAATAATCATAATAACCCTGAGCCCTAGACCCTTACTAATCAGAAGAAGAATACTAGGAAGAAAAGTCTTAGAAGGATAATAATCCTGAACAAGAAGAAGACTAGCAATAATCACCATAGTAATAGTAATGCAAGTACATGTATTAATCATAATAGCAGTAAGAGTAGCATCAACTACGTTTTCGCATGGTCGTCTTTCCGCATCAAGTGCGTCCCATGCCTTCCAGCATGCATCTCTCAATCGTTATGAAAGCTGTCCTGGTATTTACCACATTTTCCTGGACATCCATGACGGCTTGGCGGCTTGTTCTGCCAGTGTGTGCTGGCTGCGCGCACGATCCCGTGCCGCGTCAGTCGCGTTTCGCTCTGCCTCAGCTTCAACGTGTTGGATGCTTGTCCGGAAGCATGCGTAGATGGACTCAGACCGCCACATCCCCACCACACTACGGGAAGTTTCACGCTGCCTGCAACCGTGTCACGAGAACGGGCGGTTTGATAGCCTGCAGTGCATATACCGGACATGGGCAGTGACCTCAAGACTCTCCGAACAGCTGAGGTTTCCGGTCATCAAATTTCTGCTGCCAGCGCTTGGGGGTCTGTCACCCGGAGAAGACCTCCTGCCAGCCACAGGACTCTGGGACAGGTGCTAGCGGCTGCTACTAGCGGCTGTGCGGGCTTGTGGTTTGGAGTTTAGGGGATGGGGGGTTGGGATTTGGGGCTTTGAATACTGTGCCAGGCCAGGCTACATCGTTCCGGCATCCTGTCCAGTGGCTCCAAACCTCCTCAGCTTTAGGCATAAATGCCCGGGTTTGGGTTTTGGAGGCTTTGGCTGAACAGACACCCCGGCGGCCCTGAGTTTAGAGACACCGTTCCACACGGATGCGAAATCGTAAACTAGACGCGAAGGACAGCCTCGGAGCTATGCCGCTGCGAGCTGCGCACTTCGCTCGGGAGCTCACTGCCCACGCCTACCGGGGTATTAGATGAGAGTTTTGAGGGCTTGGGGGTTGGGGCTTGGGAGGTTTGGGGCTTATAGGGCTTGCAGGTTTCAAGATTCAGTGGGGTTCAGCACTGTTCGATTGTGTTTTTGTTCAGGTGGAATTTCGGTTCTTGGAATACAGCAGGCAAGCAGGCAGGCAGATCTCGGTCTGTCAGAATGCCTGCCACAGTGTTCGAGCGTATGTTTTCATAGGTCATAGGTGCGAGATGCAGGAAGCAGCACCTGTCCCCACAGTTCGCAAGGCAAGACCTGGGCAAGCTGTGCGCCAGGCTTCACATGCTTGGGAGACATAGTAGTCAGAGCCAAAGGCTTGCGTATCGGTGGGCTTCCTGCCTGCTCCGTCATGAGGAAGATAAGTTTTGCAGAGGGAAGTTTCTTGATGATCCCCCGAGCATTATGTTTTGGCTGCATGAAGCGCTTAGGCTTAGTCAAAGTCGTGTTTTCCGTGTGTGTTGATTTCAACGACCTTGTCTGATGAGCAAATTTGGACGGATGTTGTTTTCAGAGTGGATGCTGTTTCAGATTGCGAGAGTTGCATCGTCCGATGGCCTGCCAGGCGGGGGCCCTGATAGAGGAACTCCAGGAATTGATCCTTGAGGGGCATTCGCCCTCGCTTTTGCAAAGCCCTATGGTGCAATTCCTGCCCCTGAATAACCATGCGTCCATGAAGGTCAGAGAGGCCAGAAGAGCGTTTTGATCGCGGCAGCAAGTGAGGTTTTGCTTTTTTTGTTCGTAAAGTTTTGTCCAAGCTTGGCTCGGCTTGGTTTGCCAACCCTACTGTAGGCCTCAGGCCCTAATCCTCAGATCCCCAATTCATGGGACGCCTCGGCTTCCGGTTATGCTCATGCTGGCTGTTCAGTGCCAGCTTGTCATCGTTGCCGAAGTGGCCAGGATGCCGGAGGCAATCAGAGTCGCAGAGGGCATGTTCACAGAAGGGGTGGGAGAGAGGATCATCCCAACTTATGCCGCGACAACTCGCTCCAGCCGTCGTAGACGCTCGGAATCTAGAACACCAGAAAATCGCAGCCCTGAGCATGCCCTTCCTGAACGTCCAGGGTATGTGAAATACCGTAAACAAAAAGCAGGAGGCCGCCGATCAATAGGAGCGATGACAGCCACCTACCTTTCCAGTCAGAATGCCCGCTGATGTTCGCCTTGCCTTCAATCCTGGAACGCTGCAGATGTCTATGCGGCAAGGCATTTTTGCTCTTGCGAATTTTAGTCCCATTCATTCTAGGCTTGCTTAGTTTCAGCTTATCGTTCTTGATTATCTTGAAGGTCGCATAGCCTGATGCCATCCATTTCGCAGGCAGCTTGGCTTGGGCCGGCACGCAACGCGCATGTTGAGTCGCACATTGATGGGCTAAGCAGCCGCAGTGAAGTGTTTTGTTTATTTTGAATGTCCTCATGAGACGTGCTGCTATGCCTGATTGCCAGGGGCGTGGTACCAACAAAGCAAGTTTCGCACTGGGATCTTTCTGCCTCTGCATCGTCCCTGCTGACCTCCACCCTTTGCTTGTCCTACAGACAGCCTTCCTGGACATTTTTCCCAGCGCGGCTCGCGTGGACGCTGTGTGATTTGAAACCCCGGGTGATTCCGGACCCAGTTCGCGAACGACCGAAGAAACTCAAACTCGAGTTTTCTTGCTGAGCATGGTGTCCGTGCGCCTACTTGCTGCGCTGGCAGGAAGGTGGACCCCCGCGAGCGGCAGACGGGACCTGCGAGCACTCGCACAATTCTAAAGCGCAGGAACAGGGCTCCATCCTGATTGAGGTTTTGGTCGAAGGCGGCCCTTTGCTGGCTTTGATGGCCGTTGATGGGCCGACCGTAGGGGCCGTAGGGGATGTTGACTGCTGTTCTGTTGACCAACCAAGAACATCTGTCTCGCTCTGATGCGCTCTGCCGGGCGAGTTACGCCGTGTCGTTCTGGGGATTTCGAAGCACCAGGCGTTATCGGAAACAATTGCATCCAAACTGAACGCGACTGACACGATTCCAGCTCTGCATGCAATGAAAGCAGCAGATGTGGTTTTGGAGGGTTGGGGCCGGACGTGAAAGTAGCAGACGTGGTTTTGGAAGGCTTGGGACCGAAGTGAAAGCAGCAGACGTGCTTTTGGAGGGCCTGGACCCAATGTGTCTGGAAACTTTGGCTTAGAAGGAGGGCTGGGCTTGCTGGGGGGCCGGGTTCGGGGCGCAAGTCTGAGCAATCAGGAGTTGGAACATTTCTATTGCCATGCTAAGCTTTAATGCGTCCCGTAGCTGCATGAGCAGCATCCTGCCCAAACCTTGCGAAGGAGCTTTGTGCACCGCCCAAAGACGTCCATCGCAGAGCCGCCCTGCGGCACATGGACTTTACGTGCTCTTCCCAACCATATAGCCACAGCATTACGTCGGTTCGTATTACAATATCATATTGGAGCCTGTAGCTTCACATCTGTTCATGCCCATTGTGTATAAGCTACTTGGGCATCCGCGGGTTTGGGGATTTTAGTCCTGACATCTGCCTTATCTCGTCGCTCCTTGTGTCGTTCTGAGAGGCACCGTTCTGACTCGTGGCCTTTTCTGCCGCGGCATGGGGTCCCCTCTGACGGCGACCTCAGCAATCAAGGAGTTCTTGGTGCCTTGGCGTTTTCACACATGCTGTGCTGGAACGCAGTGAGCGCAGCTCTGAATCCTAGATTTTAAACTCTTAAGCTCTGTGAGCGCCCGGCAAAGCTTACTCGAAACCCTCAAACTAAGGATGCCTGCTTCGCTTCGTAGTTTACTTGTCGGAAGACTTCGTGACAATACCCATAGCTTCCACAATTGTCCTTATATATATATATATGTTCATTGCTACTCTTATTTTGGAATACTCCCGAATCCTGTCTTGCACTTAGGTTGAACCAGATGTCCGAACAACCTCCTGGTGTGCTGCTGGCTTTCTGGTGTCCAACTTTCAGGACACCTGGGGCCGAAGTCTGCGAAAATTAAACGTCGGAGCGGACCCTTGCAAGAAGTCTTAGGGTGTTTAGGGTTCAAGGGATTCAGTTTCATAGGGTCCGACGGTCCACAGCCGAGAAGGAAGGCTGGAAACTTGCAGCAAGCAAAGCGCCCCGAAGCATGGCAATGACAGAGGACCCGGCGTCGGCAAACAATCCCGAAGTTGCTTTGCATCTTGGCGGGCAGACTGAGAACTTGCGAGACGGCGTTGACAGATTTCCAGCAGTTGGGTACTGCCCTAAAAGAATCCCTTCAAGGCGAAAAGTTGTCTCTTATGTAAGGTCTACAGAAGGATACGATTGTTGGGCTTTCAGACATATCACGGAGCTGGGGTTGACGAAGAGTTATGCACACTGGTGCATGAAGACATAAGCAGGTTGGAATTTGAAATCCTGGCCGTTGCATCGCGAAGGCTGCAAAACACGAGCGACGGCGCCAAAGTGTTCGAAAGCTTCTACTCGGGCCTTTCTCGCGTACCTGAGACCTTTGCTGGCTTCCTTCGAGGCCGCACGATGCTTACGGTAACCCTTGTCTTCGGTTCAGGTATCTGCGATGCCAGGAAACCAAATGCAATTCGAAGGACTAAACACCCTAAAGCCTGTATGCTGAAATCTAATCTCGAAGCCCATTTTTAGGGGTTCCTCTGGCTGGAGCATCGGGTCGAGATGATGTCAAAGGTACCGGCCGACCGCCACACGTGTAACACTGTATTTGACGTTCTCCTTTTACCCTGAGTTCGCGATAAGGCTGAGGTTCTGGGTAGGCATGTTGCTTGAAACTCGTCTAGTTGGCACAAGGTAGGGTTGATATAAAGAATTTGTCGTATGTGCATTTCCTCAGGCTGGGTGTAGACCCCTGACCAGCAAGATCACTTTCTTCAAGGGATCCTTATTTTGTATAAGGTGGTATGGAACGTTTATGCCATGATAGTCAGTGGGACCGTCATATACGCGCGAAGAAGGAGTCTACTTATGTAAGCCATTCACGATCGTCCACATCATTCAATCCTAGGACGTGGTTCTGTCCTGTCAGTTCAGGAGATGGCGATGTCAACGAAGCCATGAACTTGCTCAGGGAGGTTGAGGGTGAGCAACTTGACATTGAAGACAGAATGCTGGTCAAGAATATCCGACATGATGTTAAGGGTACAATGGAGGCATACCGTCCTTGTCTTGGCAGCACTATGAAAATCTCGAGAACCGACAAGATCCGTTGCAAATGCTGTAAAGCTCGTTGCATTATTTCCGCAACAAGAACCCCGAAGATCCAAGGGTTTGATACTGACAGGCAAAAGTGTTCGGTTTAGGCCGTTGAGCTTGGGGGTTTGAGGGTATCGCTGCGACGTATGCTTCCCAGCCACCAGGCCTTTAGCCACAACCACCTGGCGGCCTAGCGTCTGCGTTTGCTGAAACACGGAGTTTGAGCTCAAGCCCGCCCTTCAATTGTTTCAACTGGAGGAACACAGATGTCAGTGGGTTCGGCATTCCGAAGCCAAAGCCGTTAGCCCCCGATTTTTGCGCAAAGAACCTCAAACACAGCAGGTTCAGAATTCATCCTGTAGTCGCCCGATGCAAAATTTCTGCTAGCTTCCACCCCAGGTACAAACAGATCCTGACACCAGTTTGTGAGGAGCCTCGGATCCTTTTCAGTCTTTCGTGGAGATTTTTTCGCAGGAAGTTTACTTCGGGTCTCCTGGGTTGCAGAATGGTGCTCCATTGATTCGTGGGTGGGCATGTCACTCCGTGGCTCCAGTTTGGTATTGGATCTGCCAAAAATCGTGGTTGTCAGACCTGCTGTGGATGCACTTCAGAATCTTCAACATGTTTGCGCAATTGTTCATCACCGGAAGCTTCAATTTTGTGTTCTCCCACACTGCGCCCACTCGAAGCGATTTGCCAGTCATTTCCTTCTATCTTCACGGCAGGAGGCAGTGCTGGCTGCTCGAATTGAAGCGTATCCCAGGTTCCCCGATAATAACAAAGTAGACCCATCGGGATTGCATCGTCCCATTTTCATCACCCCAACTCCGAAGCCTTCGACCAGCAACTTGCCAAGGACGGTGGCAACGAAGGCGAGGACGAGGAGGAGGGGGAGGAGGAGGAAGAAGAGGAAGACTAATGCAGAGTCCTGGTGGACAAATCCTTTCAGAATTGGGCAGAGTTCTACCTGAGCTGCCTTGCCTCACCGCAGCCGAAGATGGAACTCTACCCAAGTGCGTGGACGTCTAGCCTCCAATCCCAAGTTCCATTGTGCAAAGAAGCTCGATGAGCCGCCGCTTCGTAGAGTCAAAGCTACTCGGGAGCAGTTTTCCGCTTGGTCACCGGAGGCAGGAACCCCGAAGCTTGCCATGGCATGGTTTCTCGGTGGTGCCGGGCAGTAAGGTACGCCTCTGGTGGATAAACGCCCTTCCCCTACTATACATATTTGTGATCCCCGTTTTATCGTCGTTAACGGAGGCGGGTTTTAGTAATCGGCAGTGCGCACGAAGCAGGCGGCAGCGTGCTGCAGCCTGCACTATGCCACCCCTGGCTTTTCGTATTTGGAGTGCACATTTATACCTAGAGTCCGAGAAGCCCCATGGCTTTGGCAAGTCGCCGGCCTAGACCCGGGAAGAGCGCCACCAGATTGTAGTCCAGTGCATCTGGGAGGAGCCTTTGCTTTGAGATCGGCTCCGATCTTAAGCGGCTTCGGCCCAAAGCGCTTCGGCCGACGCTGTTTGACAAAGCAGTGCATTACGGGTAGGGGCATGCGGTAGCAAGTTGAGCTGTCTTTACATAGTCTTTGGCCCACTTACTGGCCCACTTGCACCCTTTTTCCGTTCCAAGTGACAACGGCGACGAGGATGATTTCCGCCCGAAACACCTTAAACCCCGAAGAAGCCATAAAAACACCTTAAACCGCCCACCAACGGGATGGCCCCCTGCCTAAAACCTGCCCAAGCCTTTCGCAGGAGTGTTTCACAATCGCCATCTCGCCGGCTTTGTCCCTGTGGGGGATCGGAGTTGGCATGAAAGGCCTTGGGCTCAGAAACTGATGTGCAAGGGGTTGAGGGGTTTAGGGCGTTTGGGGTTCTACGGTTTGGGGTTTAGGGGTTTAGTAGGGGGGTTTTGGATTTAGGGATTTGGGGTTTAGGGGATTTTAGGGGGGTTAGGGTATGGGCGTTTAGGGTTGATCCGTAGGCCTCTTTGTTTCCTTATGAGAATCACATGTGGACCCGTGGCCCTTGAAGGAAAGGGGAGTCGAATCAGCCCAAAACCCTTGCAAAACACAAAACCTACGAGCTTTTGGGCAGTGCTTCGAAGACAACAAGCACTCTGCAAGATCCGTAGGACCCTACAAGTCTTAACAAGAACCCGAAACCCTAAACCTACAACTTTCGAGCTATTGTGAACCGCTACAAAAAGCCAGCGAGAACTCTTTCGAGGCTGGGTGCGGCATAGGGCCGCAAAGATCGCTTTGGCCACCGTGGTGGCGATGCAGAAGTCGGATGTCGGGGAGGCCGCCGGATATCTTTCCAATACGATTTGTGGGTGTCTTTCGTCACAGGGGGGAGTGTGTCGGTTGGGGCCTTCGTCTTTGAAGATCTCGAGCAGGTCTTGGATTCAGGGTACGATGGGGGGGGCACTAGTTCTGTCTGAATTCTTGTTCCTGTACTTTCGTCTTACAGTCCCTGTAAAACTGCAATGCAATACCCTATTTGTACCACCTCGCTCTTGTTATTAAAGCCTTAAGGCCAAACTTAATTTAACCAAACCCCTCCCAAACCCCTCCGCCCAACATGGTCTGCGGTTTCGGGTTTAGTGAGTTTAGTGGTTTAGGGTTTTGGCGTTATATGGTTCGGCTCACGTAAAACAGTGGTCAACAGATTCAACACCAACGTGAATGCCCGCACTGTCTGAATCCGGATAGTGGCATCGATGGGGAAAGTGTGCACTTAGGCTGTCATGATCCAAACCTCGGTACCTTCTGGAGCCCGAAAGCACTACCCTCTCTCCCCAAAACTCTAAATCCCCTAAACCCACGAGTCTTCCCCTAGGCCGCTGACAGTCCCCGAACCTCGTGCGTCCTCTAGTCACAGGAGGTCCCCGACTTCTCTTCAGCCCCAGCCGTCGCCGACTTCTTTGAGGTGGAAACAGTGAACATTAGTGCCCTTCACGACCAGCGATGAAGCCAACATTGCTTGCGTGCCGCTTCCTTCAAGCAGGGCCGCTTTCGACAAAACATGCAGCTAGGTAGGTGAGTTCTTTTCATCACCTGCCTGTTCAACCTGTGCCTTCAGGTGAAAACCAAATGCGAACAGACCTTTGTTTTGCATCCTGCGGGTGCCTTCTTTCAAGCAGAAGGGCTGTCGCTCTTGATGTTCACTGATGTTCATATGGAGGCCGCAATATAGACCCCGTGCAGCAGGATCTTGCATGGGTGCGACAGAACGGAACTGCCCAACCCTCAACCCAAGGCCTGGACGCCCAAACCCTGGATTATGTATATAGTTATATATGTAATTTTATATAGAAACATATATATTTACATATACATAATACATATATATATATATAGTTGTATACAAGATGTATTCACTTCTCACGTGCTGGTGCTGTATTCCGGTTTGCTTCCAGCATTTCTTGCTCGGCCATGGCAATCGCTGGACCCGAGCCCCCTGAACCCCACGCGCTCCGCAACCGTTCGCAAATCCTGGTTCTGGCCGCGCAGGAGGCGAGACAAGCCAAAGACACCATGCTGCCAGAGCCCAAGTGCAGGAGGCTTCGAGGAAGTTTCATCAGAAGTTCCTCACATTTAATCCATGAAACTCTCCTTCTGATAGCAGCATCACAGACTGAACTGCTTTAGGACCCTAGGACTCGCGTTTCCGAAAGGTTTGACTAGAGATGATGTGGATTAAGCGACGTTCTTATCCCTTGCTGTGCTTTGAGGCAGAACTCATGAGGCCAGCTAGAGCATTGGGTTCTCAAGCTTCCAGGGCTGTGGGATTTTGGGAGGGATCTTGCAGAATACGGGGGGCTAGCTGCAGTGCGGTTAGCTCCTGTAAACTTTTTGTGGATTCTTACAACCTGTTGCGCCGCGGCTCTAAGGTTCGGCTTAGGTCTGCTTTGAAGTGTTGCTGTCGTGGCTCACAGTTGCTGCTGCAGGTATTCGTGAACGGCATGCCGCTAGCCAAGGCCATAGGGAGAATCACCATAGTAAGGAGCCGCAGAGGGGGAACGTGTTCTGGGGTCCAAACAGTGTCTCGGTTGAGGGGCATGTCAGATTCCCATGTTGATTGAAGCGCATGGTCCGCATGTCGTGACCTAGGGTTTAGGATTCAGAACCCAAGGGCCAAAAAGCCATGCGCGTATCTCAAAGGATTTGCTTTCTGAATGTAGGGCCTCAAACTCAGGAACCCTAAATGCAGGTCTTCAGGGACACAGAGAAGCTGGAGTAACTAGTCACTAGTCGTAGTCGAAGCCTAATCCCTTTGAAGTCCCTATATCACAATACCAAGCTAATGTACCCCCAGACACTCTTTTCGTCATTAATGCCGCGATATAGCCTGTGGTTCGAAGTTGCAGGGTTCAGGAATCGGTCCGAGGCTCATAGGCCGTGGTTTGGTGACTCACAGACCGAGTTTTATGTATCGTGTGAAGATCCAACCCCAAGATCTGGCAGCCCCTTGAGATCCAGTCAGAAGGAGGTTGTTGGTGTGCTTGGCTGACTTTGGGGCTTGACGGTGTCGGTTTTGCCGCTGGAAGTGCACAAGGACGGGGACTCAAGCGGGAAGCACTCATGAGTCAATGCGTACACGCGTTGAAATACCTCGGCATGTTCTAGCTGTGGCCAGGCGTTTGCCTGTCCCTGATCCTGAATCGAGCTGTTGCTGGCTCTGAGAACCCGGGGTGCCCCTAAGCAGTACGCAAAAGTCCGAAGGTCCTGCGGCAACCGTGGTAAAGTCTCACGGGAAGCGGGGTTTGGTTGGGAAGGTCTCGGTCGTTGGTTTTAAAGGAGTTTGTCGGAGAGTTGAGGTCTTGAGCTCAACGAGCCTCGTAGAGTCTTCGTGAGGCTGCTCCTAGAAAGCCACCCACACAAACCCTAAACACTGAACCCTAAACCAGATCAATCTCTAACCCTAAGCCCCCGACCCCCTTCATCTGCTGAAACCCTGGCCAAGGTAGCCAAAGCACATCTTGTAAACAAAAACCGAGGAGGCCGAGCATTAACTCTTAAGTTATGACGATATAAGCATGACGATACAATGCATGTTTGGAGGTTTAGAGTGTGGTCAGCGTGGTACAGTGCTATCGGGTTGGTCAGGTATGCGTGTATAAACATATACTACATATTGCTATCTATCTATCTATATATATATATATATATATATATGTACATACGTTCATGCATACCGGTGCGAACTTGGGCTCTCTGGAACCCAGGGACATTCAGAAATCGCAGCTTTGCATTGTCGTGACCGCGCGCTCCGACCAAGAGCACTGAGCTTCTTTCTGTTTGTAGTCTGGGGTTGCTCGAGGTGTATGAACCCAAAATGGTTTACGGTTCCAGAGTTCAGGTTTTGGGGTTCTGCGCTTCAGGGCTTCGGGGTTTAGCATTGAAGATGTAGGATAATGTAAGAACCAGTCGAGAGTCGCTACACGTCTCAAGCAGCCCGCGCTTCGGATGCCGTCTCAGCTCGAAGTTGTCATGGACGGCCGAACGGAGATGCAGCGAAATACTTAACGGCTTCGAGGTTAGGTGGGCAGTGTAGGGCGCTAAAGTTAAGCGTTCAAGCAAGCTGAATGGGTCTTAGGTTACAAGCATGAGCAGCACTACTCGCATAACCTCTATATCTCGTGCACATATGCAGCGACTTCGAACGACGCCATGAACGGGTTGCAGGCCCTGCAGACTAGTCCCGAAGCAGGAAGCTCCTAGTCAACCTTGGGCCTCCCTCTTCAGCCCCCAGCCCGAGCTCAGAAAGCTTCGGTGACTCAGTGAAGATTGCAGGCCTCTTCATCTTCGCGGTACTCTACTAGTAGAGTCTATCTGATCGGGGTCTCCTTAAGGGTTCCCTGTTGTGTTGCCATGGCAGAGGGGCAATCCGTGGAGGAATTCCCTCTAGGGCAGCACGCGCAGCCTGAACCTCAGTTGGAGAACTGAGCAGTGGGCTAAAAAGGTCTTCAGAGCTTCGGCTAAGGATTTGAAGGAGGCTAGGACGGCTAGGAGCAGTACGCACCTCTGTCTTGGTCTTCGAGCGGCTTCGCAAGCCCCAAGTACGAGGACAGGTCGTATGTCACAGAAGCCAGTGCACTTCATTCTTTCCCACCTTATCTTCAAGTCAAGGGCCCTCAACCTGCAGCAGCCACATGGAGACTCCGTACTCGATTCTAGCTATGAAGCTGAGGGCGACTCTGGGGATGAGGGTTTACGGTCATATAGGTTGAAGTCAATAGGGATGTACCGAATGGTGCTTCCGTAGGGATCAGGGGATTTCGTAAGGGGAATCTAGTAGTGCACGATCAGGGGCTTGTTCAGGCAATCCCAGCTCAGAAGCTTTTTTCAGACTTCCAACCAGGGTCTGCGGGCTTTCTGCCAAGCCAGAGCTGAACGACGAGTGTCCCGGCAGCTTCATCCAATGTGGCCCAGCCTTTAGCCCTGAGCCCTGACTGGGTCAGCTCGCTGAGCAGATTGCTCTAAACCTGTGGTCTGTCAGGGCTCTTGGCTTGATGGGAACAACAACGAAGCCACTATAAACGTATCATAACAATCTTGTTCTATCAGCCATAAGAGAAACCTACGTAAACCTACAAACCCCATAACGTTCGCTCTAGTAAGGGCTTGGGGGTTCGAGATTTTAGGGCCAGGGTTTCAGCGTCTGCGGGGCCGGACATCCAGACCCGCATGTGATGACACAGACCTGGCAGTGCGGTCCATATACATCTCATGCAACACTTCTGGAGCCAGCTTTTCAGAGTTGTCCAAATTAATATAAGGCTCTGGGGCCAGGTATTGCGTCTCGAAGGGTGTGAATCCAGACAACTCCGAGCGACTCTTGGTCACTCTCCGCCCGGGGCTGAGCCAAGCGAGTCTGCGAAAGAATGAGGGGTGTAGGTGTGTGCGAATCGACCTTCCCGTGGGTCCTAATACGGCGATTGAAGATTGAAGTTTTTATAAGCGACTGTTTGGGGCATATTCTACTTATCAAGGCTGACCGTGAGATGCTGTAACATGCCGTAACCCGACCTGAAGTCTGAAATTCCCTCGACTCAAAACCCTCCAAATCCGAAAGCCTCCGCGGACTCACATCCAGCTGCATTCTGGGGGCATAGGGGTTTAGGGATTAGGGTTCAGGCGTTCAGAGTTTTGCGCTTCAGCGTTTTCGCACTTGGACAGAAAGATGGATGATGGACAGAAGCGGCGACATGCCCTTTTTCTGGCATGCCCACATGTTGCCAGAAGCATATGCATGCATACTATGTGTCCATGGCACGTCGAACTTCAAGCCGCGAAACCCTTAAATCCAACAAATCCCATGAATACAGCCTTATACAACCTTATCAAACCGTGGTGAAGCGTCCTGATGGTCACAAACTTCGGCAAGCCAGGATCGGGCAATCAGCTCTCCCTGAAGCCCACGAACTTGAGGGCGGCAGAGCTGCTGTGGGGGCACCCGGGTGTTGAGGGTTCAGGGTTGAAAGGGCTCACAAGGCCTACAGGGTGCGGGGTTTGGAGTCAGCTTTCGATTACAGAAAGCATATTTGCTTGAAACCCCTGCGTAATTATTCAGATTTCTGTCTTGGGGAGCAATACAACTCTGCACTCTAGTGTCACCTGCCAGAACCCGCTGTACGTAGGGTCCCAGCTTATACCCCTTCATTTCGATGCTTCTACAAGAGTAGGTTCTGAGTTGATTTGGGAAGCCGTAGCCACTCGAAACTTGATAAGAATCCCGAGAGACAAAGCTTGCCATCGCAACGAGGCCCGGGTCTCTGGTCTGTGCTCCTCAGCCGCATCTCGGTTGGGGTTGAAGCTTACTTTTCACAGGGCGTCTAGGGTCAGGTTTAGGGGTTCGGGGTGTCGAGGGTCAGGTTTTGGGGTAGAAGATGAGTGCTGACCGACAATAGAGTTGACTATGAGGATTCGTCGACTCAGAGTACCTGTCGCAGGGCAGATGAAATAAGATTAATGGGAGGCTGAATAATCAAGGGACGTGGGTTTCCGGCTTTTACTTCCGGAGGTGCATAGAAGCTGGTTACTACTTATTCAAATTCCTGGCTTCGATGAGTATGTGGAGAATCGAGAACACCACGCCTGGCACACATTTTCAGGACTGTATGCGCAAGTGAAGACACCGAACCCTGCTGAACATGTGGTCTTCTCCAAGACTTCATACAAACTCGCTTGCCCAAGCCCGAGAAGCCACAAGGGCACTTCAAACTTTTTATGCGACCCTACAGCGTAAGCCCTATACCCCGTACACACTCAGACCAGCAGCAAAGTCCAAGATCGAGCAGTAACACTTGACTCAGCACTCCCTTCGTGGCTTCGTCAAGCCCTGAACCCTGAAGCGCAAGTCAAAACTCGAAGCTCAAGTCCTAAAGCCGAACCCAAACCGCCCCAAACCCCAAGCCCCAAATGTCAAAGCCGACAATTAACGCCTTAAGTCGCAGTCCGTCTCACGGCACAGCCAGGTCGTTGGCTTGTCGAGCCAGGCGGGCTCCAAGCACCTTGGCAAGAACAACAACTCATGAGGATGATGGATATAGGGGGCCAGTTCAGGGCTTAGGCTTAGGATAGTTGTTAGTGCGATGGGTTGAAGGCAAACTATTCGATGGGGATTAGGACAACTTGTAGGTAGCATGATGGGTTGATGATGGTCTTGAGGTTGGTGTAGCATTAATGGTTTAAGGTCTCATGTAATGAATATGTGCAGACTACGAAGCCCCACAATCTAGTTGTTCAAGCTTATGGCACAAGAGTCAAAGCTGCCCCTGCTGAGACACACTCTTCTGGGACTGCGGAGGGTCCGCATTTTCATCCCTGCTATTGTATGAACCTTCATGTTGAGCTCAATCAGTAGTATAATCCTGATATTACCAGAAGTATGCCTCATTATGCATATCGCGCATGACCCTGATGCCCCATGATCCAGGACGATTCCAATCTTCCCA